CCTTTCTTTCCTCCGTCCTTCCTTCTCTCTCTCTCCGTCCTTCCTTCTCTCTCTCCGTCCTTCTCTCTCTCTCTCATTTGTATTCATGTATTCCTGTCCAATCTATCTTGTTATTTGCGTGATAGCATTCGGAGGTGACAGGCTCTCTTTATGAGCCTGCCATCCAATACAGAAGATGGAGCACACAGCTCAGGCTGTGACAGCGGACACAGCGGTCCTGTGTCACCGATCATGGAGGTTCTCCGCTCTGCTCCCCATTCTGAACTGCTTTGCTGTGGGCTGGGGTCCCCCAGAGGAGTAGGGGACCCCAAAAACCACAGCACAGAAGAAGGCAGCCAGAGGAGCGCCCCTTCAGACTGGGCCCCCCCACCCCCACCCGGATTAATTACTGAACAAAGTTTGGAGAGTTTATTACTTGAAACAAAACTACAACATGAAGCTGGATAACAAATTATACAACAAGGGGGAACCTGCTCAGAGACCAACCCCTGATGTAACAAACTTGCCCATTCGGTCAGAGTGTGAGTGACCAAGGCAGAAGCTCCAGCAACCATGCACACAGAATGCATGGCGCTCTCCGCTTTCCTGTCCAAAGGGTCCCCGTATGGTGAAGGTCCTAGAAGGGGCCGAGTCCTTCAACGAACGGAAGAGAAAATGTAACAATAAAACAGAAATATCCCACATGGGTTGGCTGATCCTTCCAGCCTCATCTTTATTGTACAATTGTTCTACAGACATAACGAGTCAGCCTATGAAACGCCCCCATCAGTGGCCTTGGGTGGTCTGTGTTCTCTGATTATTAGTATAATTTTCCGTTTAAAACATTTGGAACAGGAAAATGGCTTCTCCCTGCTGTGAATTCTCAAGAGCTCGTTACGGTTTCCTTTTACCGTAGAAGAACTGGCCGCACTTGGAACAGCAACAGGGCTTCTCACCAGTTTGGACTCTCTGGTGTGTATTGAATATGGTTGTATGGGTGAAAGACTTTCCGCACTCAGAACACGAGAAAGGCTTGTTGATGGTGTGGATTCTCTGGTGCCGAAGGAGTTCCAATCTATCTATGAAGGGCTTGATGGAATCAGAACATGAAAAAAGTTGGTCCACCGGTGTGAATTTTCTGGTGTACAACCAGGTCACATTTTCTTAAAAATGATCTTTTTTGCAGTCCGAGCAAGAGAAGATCTCCTCACCGGTGTGACCCCTCTGATGTATGTGGAGCTCAGATCTCTTTTCACCCTCCGAGCATGGCAACCAAGCCTTATTTTCATGGCGCTCATTGGCATGGGGCCTCATACGAGAGAGAGGGTTCCTGGGTAAACAGTAGCCATGGCCGGTGTGTGTTCTCTGGTGGTTAGTACTACTCTCTGCGCAAAACATTGGCCGCATTCTGGACAGGGAAATGGTTTCTCACCGGTGTGAATTCTCATGTGTGTGTCACAGTTCCCTTTTATGGGCGAAGATCTTTCCACATTCGGAACAGGAAAAGGGTTTCTCACCGGTGTGAACTCTTTGATGAGCTTGGAGTCAGGTTTTCAAGGTGAAATACTTTCCACACTCAGAACAAGGGAAGGGCATTTCACCGCTGTGGATTCTCTGGTGTTGAATAAGTTTAGGTTTCTCCTTGGAAGACTTTCCACACTCAGAACACGAGAAGGGCTTTTCACCGGTGTGGGTTCTCTGGTGTTGAACAAGTTTAGGTTTCTCCTTGGAAGACTTTCCACACTCAGAATACGAGAAGGGCTTTTCCACAGGTGTAGATTCTCTGGTGATTAACAAGTTCAGGTTTCTCACACTCCGAACACGAGAAGGGCTTTTCACCGGTGTGGGTTCTCTAGTGTTGAACAAGTTTAGGTTTCTCCTTGGAAGACTTTCCGCACTCAGAACACGAGAAGGGCTTTCACCGGTGTGGGTTCTCTGGTGTTGAACAAGTTTAGGTTTCTCACACTCAGAACACGAGAAGGGCTTTTCACCGGTGTGGATTCTTCGGTGCTGAACCAGTTTTGATTTCTGAGTACGAGACTTTCCACACTCAGAACACGAGAAGGGCTTTTCACCGGTGTGGATTCTCTGGTGTTGAACAAGTTTAGGTTTCTCCTTGGAAGACTTTCCGCACTCAGAACACAAGAAGGGCTTTTCACCAGTGTGGATTCTTTGGTGCTGCACCAGTTTTGATTTCGGAGTACGAGACTTTCCACACTCAGAACACGAGAAGGGCTTTTCCCTGGTGTGGGTTCTCTGGTGTTGAACGAGATTTGATTTTCTTAAGAAGGACTTCTTACACTCGGAACACGAGAAGGGTTTCTCACTGGTGGGAATTCTCTTCTGGACAACCAGCTCATGTTTCTTTATAAATGGTTTTTCACAATCCTGAACAGGATGCAGATTATTAGTGGACGTTTCATCTGCATTAGAAGAACTTTGAGGTTTATCAGCACTGTGCAGGCTTGGTTGGACATTTGGGATAATAGTATGAGATTGATCTTTAGACCCCTCAGAATTAAACTGATCCGTTGACCTTGCCATATGGTTAAGTTTGTGATGTATATTTTGAGCAACCGGAAGATTTCCTCTCGATTCTTGCCTGCACGGCCCAACAGGAAGAGAGGGGACGATCCCCCGAAGTGGACAGAGAGGGAACAGTTGAGTTTTAGGAAAAACTACAACACGAATATGCACAATAAAGTATTAATCAACAAGCGTACTTTCCGTAAGTAATGAGATAAGAGATCACTATAGGGACGTAGCCATTCAACCTATGAAACTGCACCACAGGTTTATTTCAGAGATGGCCACAGGCGTGCTTCTTCTGGTGGAGGACTAGTGTCACTTTCTGCACAAAGCGTTGGCCGCATTCCGGACAGGAATGTGGCTTCTCCCCGGTGTGGATTCTCATGTGCTTGTCACGGTTCCCTTTACTGGGGAAGCGCTTTCCACATTCACAACAGGAAAAGGGCTTCTCGCCAGTGTGGACTATGTGGTGCCTATTGAGTTGCGATTGATCAATGAAGGACTTTCCGCACACAGTGCACAAGAAGGGCTTTTCCCCGGTGTGGATTTTCTGGTGCTGAACGAGTCTTGATCTAGTTTTGAAGGACGTATTACACTCGGAACAGGGAAAGGGTTTCTCGGTGGTGGGGATTCTCTGGTGGACAATCGGCTCCTGTGTTCTTACGAATGGCTTTTCACGATCCTGAAACAAATGCAAATTGTTTTTAGGATAATATTTCTCAAGATTTGAAAGATCTGGAGATTTATCTGCAAGGGGGAAGCTTGGTCGGACATTTGGGATAACAGTATGAGATTCATCATTCGGCTCCTCAGAATCTAACTGATCCGTTGATCTTACCATATGGTTAGGTTTGTGAGCAACCATGTTTGTTCCTGGAGAATTTTGTGCCATGCCATGATCTTCTTTATAATGATCTGCAGATAATATAGGACGTCCCTCTGAGGTATTCCAGCCATTGCGTCCTCCTGTTGGAAATAATGTTTATTATTACTGCTCATAATAATAGCATGTTCATCGTTTATGTTTTTGGTACCCTGCATTTTTGAAAGTAGGAGGGTTTTGGGGCTGAACTGAGGTCTGAAGTGTATGGATCGGGGCTGATCTGAGATCTGAAGGGTATGGATCAGGGCTGATCTGAGGTCTGAAGGGTATGGATCAGGGCTGATCAGAGGTCTGAAGGGTATGGATCGGGGCTGATCTGAAGTCTGAAGGGTATGGATCAGGGCTGATCTGAGATCTGAAGGGTATGGATCAGGGCTGATCTGAGGTCTGAAGGGTATGGATCAGGGCTGATCAGAGGTCTGAAGGGTATGGATCGGGGCTGATCTGAAGTCTGAAGGGTATGGATCAGGGCTGATCTGAGATCTGAAGGGTATGGATCAGGGCTGATCTGAGGTCTGAAGGGTATGGATCAGGGCTGATCAGAGGTCTGAAGGGTATGGATCGGGGCTGATCTGAAGTCTGAAGGGTATGGATCAGGGCTGATCTGAGATCTGAAGGGTATGGATCAGGGCTGATCTGAGGTCTGAAGGGTATGGATCAGGGCTGATCAGAGGTCTGAAGGGTATGGATCGGGGCTGATCTGAAGTCTGAAGGGTATGGATCAGGGCTGATCTGAGATCTGAAGTGTATGGATCGGGGCTGATCTGAGGTCTGAAGGGTATGGAGTGGGGATGATCTGAGGTGTGAAGTGTATGGATCAGGGCTGATCTGAGGTGTGAAGTGTAGAGGTCAGGGCTGATCTGAGGTATGAATTTATGGATTAGGTCTGATCTGAGGTCTGAAGTGTATGGATCGGGGATGATCTGAGGTGTGAAGTGTATGGATCGGGGATGATCTGAGGTCTGAAGGGTATGGATCGGTGCTGATCTGAGGTCTGAAGTGTATGGATCAGGGATGATCTGAGGTCTGAAGGGTATGGATCAGGGCTGATCTGAGGTCTGAAGGGTATGGATCAGGGCTGATCTGAGATCTGAAGGGTATGGATCAGGGATGATCTGAGATCTAAAGGGTATGGATTAGGTCTGATCTGAGGTCTGAAGGGTATGGATCAGGGATGATCTGAGGTCTGAAGGGTATGGATCAGGGCTGATCTGAGGTCTGAAGTGTATGGATCGGGGCTGATCTGAAGTCTGAAGGGTATGGAGTGGGGATGATCTGAGGTGTGAAGTGTATGGATCAGGGCTGATCTGAGGTCTGAAGGGTAGGGATCGGGGCTGATCTGAGGTGTGAAGGTGCATGCATTGGGGTTGATGTGAGGTGTGAAGGTGCATGCAAAGGGTATGGATCGGGGATGATCTGAGGTCTGAAGGGTATGGATCGGGGATGATCTGAGGTCTGATGTGCTGCATTTTTGTATACCGTATATACTCGAGTATAAGCCGAGATTTTCAGCCCATTTTTTTGGGTGAAAAGTGCCCCCCTCGGCTTATACTCGAGTCAGCGCCAGCTGAGTCAGCGCTAATACAGGGCAGACAATACATTTACAATTATACTAACATGAATGTATTAAATGATCTGTATGTAGCCCTGTACTATGGATCATTTAACCCATTCATGTTAGCAGAGTGTCATTGTAAATGTATTGTTGCAGGCACTCTATATGTACATGTACTATATACTACATATAGAATGCACTGAACAATAGATTTACAATTATCCTCTGCTAATATGAATGGGTTAAATGATCCATAGTACAGGGCTACATACAGATCATTTAATACATTCATGTTAGTATAATTGTAAATGTATTGTCTGCCCTGTATTAGCGCTGACTCAGCTGGCGCTGACTCGAGTATAAGCCGAGGGGGGCACTTTTCACCCAAAAAAATGGGCTGAAAATCTCGGCTTATACTCGAGTATATACGGTATACTACGGTACTTACTTGTACTGATACGTAGAGATGATCGCCCCTCGGTGATTGTCGCCATCTTTTTAGCTTCCTTCCCAGGCAGCTGTCTACTCCTCACATACGTCTCTTCTTCCGCTTTAATCTCAGTTTTGATATTAAACAGTTGTACACCCTAAAACCACAAAATGCCCGCGAGTATTATTATCCCGAGGCTACATAGAAGAATATAATCCAACACAGCTTAGAGCCAAGACTGAGGTTTGAAATCCTCAGTCCCATCTACCTGATCATGGTAAGGGATGGCGAGATCTTCCTGGGTGGAATACCGGGAATACAGAGGACGGGGACATCTCTCTGGTGGGTTCCTCTTACTGGATCCATCTGTAGGAAACACACACACTGACTGAATACATTGTTTCTATGTGTGTATCAGATGATGGGGGATCTAGATGGACCCTCCGTACTGCTCTCTCCTCTTACCCGGTGATGTGAGGGGCGGCTCATTCTCCATCACGACGTCCTTGTAGAGATCCCGGTGTCCTTCTAGATACTCCCACTCCTCCATGGAGAAATAGACAGAGACATCCTGACACCTTATAGGAACCTGACACACACAATGATACAGTCACCACCCAGACACACCCCTTGTCTGTTCCTGGATCATGTCCCAGAATTCCCGGCACCGCTC